CTGCAGGATTAGAAGTAAGTTATTTATAATACCAGACAACGTAAACCATAACAAATAAATAGAGACAGCTTGTATATAATAACATCAGTCTTTATTTACTCAGAAATGACAGAATTCACTCAGACTACATTTACTCGAAAATGACAGAATTCACCCAGTCGACATTTACTCAGAAATGACAAAATTCACTCAGCCGACATTTCCTCAGAAATGACAGAATTCACTCAGACTACATTTACTCGAAAATGACAGAATTCACCCAGCCGGCATTTACTCAGAAATGACAAAATTCACTCAGCCGACATTTACTCAGAAATGACAGAATTCACTCAGCCGACATTTACTCAGAAATGACAGAATTCACTCAGACTACATTTATTAAAAAAATGACAGAATTCACTCAGCCGACATTTACTCAGAAATGACAGAATTCACTCAGCCGACATTTTTAATCAGAAATGACAGAATTAACTCAGTCACTCAGACTACATTTATTCAAAAATGACAGAATTCACTCAGCCGACATTTACTCAGAAATGACAGAATTCACTCAGACTACATTTATTCAGAAATGACAGAATTCACCCAGACTACATTTACTCAGAAATGACAGAATTCACTCAGCCGACATTTACTCAGAAATGACAGAATTCACCCAGACTACATTTACTCAGAAATGACAGAATTCACTCAGACTACATTTACTCAGAAATGACAGAATTCACTCAGATTACATTTACTCAGAAATGACAGAATTCACTCAGACTACATTTACTCAGAAATAACAGAATTCACTCAGACTACATTTACTCAGAAATGACAGAATTCACCCAGACTACATTTACTCAGAAATGACAGAATTCACTCAGACTACATTTACTCAGAAATGACAGAATTCACTCAGATTACATTTACTCAGAAATGACAGAATTCACTCAGACTACATTTACTCAGAAATAACAGAATTCACCCAGACTACATTTACTCAAAAATGACAGAATTCTAATGTAGGAGATTTGATTTAAAAAAACAAACAAACAATCATCGTCATATACGGAGACACAGTTCGGATGGCAGTCGGATTTATACTCCACACACGTCGATATTCAAGGGATTACGATCACTTTAGCTCTCTACACATTTGGAATATATCATTGCAAAATTGAAGGTTCCATGTGCAACACCTTATGGACAAGACGAAAAGTTTAACCTGATGATCTGATGTACATTAAACGAAAATCGAGGCCACGTTAAGATTTTTTTTCAAAATATCAATGCTGCAAGGCATTAATCAATACCTGGTAAATATGTACAATGTAATATCAAAAAGTACGGGCCTTTGATCTCACTCAATATTGTCTGATATCAACCCGACAGAAAGATATTTATTGAAATAATTCTCTGTTGATATTTGTCAGATTTACCTCATCTAAAGCCAGTGACTGATTTGAAATATGCATACTAAGTAAAGATATTGTCAGGGCTAGGCTATATTTTCAAGGTGCATCTTCTGCGATTGAACAAGACATGTTCCATCCAGGCAACAGGTAACGCTGCCTCGCGCATAATCTAGATAATGTTACATGAATACATCATTTGACAGGTAACACGTGAAATGGTCTTGTCTCGTACCAGGCGAATACATGTGGCTGTATGGGCCAGGTTAATTCTAAGCTGTTTAAGCCAGTATCAAGCCGTCAGAAGATATGTGAAAAAATACCTGTGTAGATGTGAAAGACAAACCGAGTTCCGCCAGCCCTGACGTAATGATATAATCAGTAAACGGTTCAGAAATTAAGGAGAAATGACTTGACTCTGAAATACATTCAAAGCTGCGGACCGAAACATTTTTAGCCCAACAGCCATAAAAAGTTATCATCTACTATATTACCCTACAGAAGTTTTATATAACAATTCTACTGTCTTTTTTTCTATTTTTATTTTTTTTATTTTTTTTTTAAAATTCCTGATTACTATTACTGAGATAACTTAAGTTAGGTATAATATTTGAATTTTTTTGTGAGAGTTATTTCCCTTTAAACTGTAAAAATTACAAAACGCTCCTCGTGTGAATGTTATCGACAAGAAACGCGTAAACTATGGCCAGTTGCGGTAGAATCTAAATTATCAAAAATTGCATATGGGGTATCAGGTCAGATCTATCTTTCATATCATTTCTGGTGCCCTGTATCAGTATTTACATAACGAGGGTGTCTATTGCTAATTATCAAGTAGTAATTAACTGTTTGTTTGCTGGGTTTATCGCCCCGTGGAGAACAAGGGTCATTATGATATGAAATGTAATTGAATCAATGGTTACCTCACTGAACAACATGCGGGAGGCCCGGTACATGCCATCAGATCATTTAGGGCAAAGCGTCTTGCCTAAAGACACAACAACGACAGTAGTGCCTCAACCACAGATCTGTCTTACCGCCCTACCTGGTTGGTTTTGAAATCCCTTTGGACAGATTTTGATTTTCAAGTTAGTCGGGTTTCAACATTTTAGTTTTTTTAGCATAGTGACTCCTAGAAGGACAAAACAGCTGTATGATGCAGTTTTAGTTCGTTAGTTGGTTCTACTGTTTGATTCTTTGTATTGAACAGTGTCATTCACGTGTGCGTTTTTGTACGACCTTCTGGCTTAGTCTATCTGCTTTCTGATACATTAACTACCTTTCAACACCTAAAGTTTTGTACCTTTGTTGGTATATACAAACTAAAGTCATTGTATTCTGGCATATTGAATTGAATTTCATTCAGAATTATTATCAACCCACTGCCGTAGTCCATAATTAAGTTAATAACTGATATGTCTGCCTTTTTCTTACACTGTTTTGGGCACTGATTTAAACTTCGTCTAAAAAACCCTAATGCCGAACTTGCTCTCCACGTGATATTCCTGATACGAGAGCTCCATTTTAGGACATTTGATAACGGGAGTGTTATGTATTAATTGTTTTGTACCTCCTCCGAAACGTATTTTTTTAATTTGATGACGTTTTTTCGAATGAATGAACCTGTGGTCACATTTAGCCTTGAACTTCATTCCTCGTTTATCTGCTCACTCCTTTAATTTTAGCCCCTTTCTAGAGGATGTTATGTCCGTTGAATGTTTTGACTTGACGATACAGAAGACCATCAGTAAAAAAGGCGTACATGCCATATGACTGGGTTTGATATGTCATTTATATAGCGCATGAAGAGAAGTGGCCCCGGTGTCGTCTCTTGAGGGAGGCATTTGTAAACCGAAGGCGGCACGTTCCTTCTGTGACGTATTACCTTTAAGTATAACTTTCATTTTCTCTGTGTAAGAAAAGCTATCCTTTTCGCTAGGCTTTATCCAGGAGCATCTTGTATGTCGAACTCCGCGGAACCAACAGGAAAACTAGGTTGAATATAATTTACTACTTAGAATACTCAACCTTGGCAAGTCATTCAACCAGGATGAGTTCGAAAACGGCTTAGGCCAGTGTATGTTAGCGTATGTACTGGGTATTTCTGGAGGAATACGTGCTAAGCATACACATGCCAGGTATGAGGCTGTGATAAATGGCTTGTTTACAAGAATAGCAGGTGCTGGGAGAGGTTATTATATATATATATATATATCGTAAGCAGTAGGAGGCCAAATTGTTGGTGAAATATGCCATTTTAGTTGGGAGCTAATGGTTGTGTTCCTGTATATATCTTGATGCTTGATCTTGGCGTAATTTCGCATCTGTCTGTCAGGTAGCACAACAGCTGGAATGGCAACACTAAAGAGTGCCAGCTGCCATGGACAGTACTAAACAGTGCCAGCTGCCACGGACAGCACTAAAGAGTGCCAGCTGCCAAGGACAGCACTAAAGAGTGCCAGCTGCCACGAACAGCACTATAGAGTGCCAGCTGCCATGGACAGTGCTAAACAGTGCCAAGGGCAATGCCGAATCGCGCAGCACAACTTAGTATACATTAGCCAAACCAATCTTTCACCATTAACCAAGTCAGTCAGATAGAGCCCAGCCATACATTGTTGTGTTACCAAATGATATCGCATGCGCAGACGATGCCTAGTTACTCAATTCCAATAGTCGACTCGACAGGCGCGTCATAACTTCTGCTTTCCACTACACATACACATTACAAATCTAGTAAAATGGGTTCGCTCTTGCTTTAATCTGAACATTGAAGTGATTACGTAGCTTGTTCGACAATTAACCACACTTTAAGTAGACTTCCGTGTACAATGTGTTAGTTTATGTCATCAGTATATACGCTAATATATATACCTAAGTTCTGTAACTCATACCCCTTTGGAAGTTAAAGTACGCGAGACAGTGCACATCCACACCCGGGCATTTCTTTTGAGCACTTTGAATTTTTCTCAGTCGTCTCCGAGGTTTGAAAATTTTCGCCATTAGGATTACTGACAAGTCGTAGAAGGACGAAACAGCTGTATGGTGTACGTGAAATCATTGTTAGGCACAACTGCATCTAATTATGAATTCGTGTGTAAAGGTGCTATTGACTTGTTCGCCTTTTGTACAGGTGTTACAGGTGGATAATTGTGTTTAGTGTAGACTTGTTTTGTTTTTATTTTGTATTTATTTTGATTGTATCTATTGTTTTTCTTATTTTGCTGATTTTCAATCGTTTCAACGAACCAAAATGCCATCCCACGTGATATGTGCATGACAGATACAATTCTGACACGGAGGAACCTTTTCTGTGTTTAACACGGAAGTGATGAACATGATATTTGGGTGTCAATGTAATAGTTGTCCAGATCTCTTTCGTTTTATTGGTCAATCCTATAAAAAAATCAAATGGCGATTGAACTTCCGGCGATAAAGTTTTAGGACAAGTCAATTTAAGGGACTTTGTGATGCATGATTTGCCACAATTGAGATTTGTTTCCGCGCTCTTGGCATCCAATTTGACTTCCGGGAAGACCTCCCTTTTCATGGTTGGGCCAAGCGCGAGGTGATCATAACATTTACATAAAAATAATCTTAAGCATGTTAAAGTATATTGCAAATCTAAACAGACATATGAATGAAGATGTGTTTATGAAACGCTATGCCTCTGACTGCAACACAATTCTGAAATGGGACTTTAAAACTGTACTGTGTAAGTCATGTGCTAATTGCATGCATACTTTTATGTCTTCGTTGTGGTAACGGTTTTTTTTTTCAAATGTAGGTCAAAGGTCACGGTCAAGGTCAGGTAGTGCAAACGTACCTCCGGATAGGTCTTGTCACAAGGAACATACTTGCATGATATAAAAGCTCTGCCTCTTACAGTGAAATAATTATGGGCAAGGTTAAAGTTGACATCAGACAAACAGCCAACACAAAAACAAACTGCCCCCGATCTTTCGATCCGGAAGCATAACAATAATTTGAAATAAAAACAAACACACACAAAAGAACTGTTGATGAACCCGCGAAAATAATATTTATCGGAAATGATGACTGTGAATATTTGTACCCATGTGACTTCACATACGCTACATCCATCTGCTGTACATGGTCGGCCGAAACTGTTTATGCCAACGGCGCACAAACGTAAACAAGCGAAAGTAATACCACATGTGCGGTCAAAATATCGGACGTAAACTGTGATTTTGGAATTACAGTTCTATTCAGCATGGCTTGTGGTGTTTTGCTTCATATAATTCATGTGATACTTTTGTATTCCACGATATCACAAGCAAAACACAACGGTAAGAGGACGTTTCGTGCCGCAGTGTACGAACATGCAGTGTACCTTCCAGAGAATAGAAAAGTGCCCGTTTCCAGAAAAACAGCTCTCACAAACATGATGAAGAACCTACGTGTTTACAAGGAGCAAACAGAAAAGGCGGCCATTCAGGTAAAAACCATCATCTATTTTCTTGCCTTTTCAAGTATTTTACCAATTTTGAAATTGTATCATAATTTGATAACATACACGTTAAAAAATTTCATCAAAACATTAGGGGTCGCACTTTTTAATCCTCTCGTGAAATTTCGAGATACAAAGCTCGAGTCTGACTCAGATTTACATAAATTCCTCTCTATATGCGGTAGGCCTCCCGCATATATTCAGTGAGGTAGCCTGCTAATACCGTTATCAATGTTCACTGACTTTGCTGATGGATCTTTAAGGCTGTAAGGAGGGACATTCAGGGCATTTTATATATTAGTCAAATCTTATTTTGGTTTTATTCATTTCATTACAATACCCTCACTCCCCTCCCCACAATTCCCTCCCATCCCCGCATGACATGGCCGAGGTAGGATTTTACATTGACTCGTTGACATTAAATTTTTGTCGATTTTCTAAAAAAAAAATGTAAATTCGACCTTGACCCAACAGTCCTGAAACTCATATTCATCGAAGATATTCTGAAATTTTGATGCTTTATAAGTGAATGAAGTCTGATGAGAATCCCTTAAGGATGAAGCCATTAAAGCGCTGACAAACCTTGTCACAGACGGACGAACGGACGTACAGACGGTCAGTAAACCTATAATCCCTCTCAAATCATCAATGTTGAATACGTTAACTGACTGCGTTGTAATTATGATCATGCTATCATAACTGAACCAATAAATTTACGCTTTCCTGCTTTTATTATTCATAAAAGAATAAAAAAAAATGACATCTTGTAGTTAAGAACATCTCATAACGTGCCATCAGCGATATCTAGAAAAAAAAACGATAAAAAAAATAAATAAGTTGTTAAATTTCGTCTTTTCGTAATGCAGAGTTATCTGCTCTTGTCAGCAGGCATTGATTGATACGTCATTAATTTGCACGAGAAAAAGTCTTTTTCTCACAAATTGATTACGTCACTCTCTCATAAAAAAATTAATTAATACAGTACCTGTTCACAAGAGCAGATAACCCTGTAATACGGAGAGACGGAATATTATGATATGTTCTCTCCTGTCAGGATATTTTTTTATGTGGACGATGAATACGTTCCAAGCCCCTATGTTCGCAGTATGATGGAAATCAAGATGTCCCAGAACGGTAGATGATTTGATAAAGGATCCACCTTATTAGTGCACTTTCTAGCTATGCATTGTATAGGGTTGTCCAGCGGTAAATTTTTTGTTCTTTAGTCAAATCCTGCCCCAAGGTAGATCAACAAATGGATTATTTAGTAGACCAAAAGAGATAACGATAAATTAATACGGTCGAATTCATCAGAACAGTTCGGCCATTTTCGTCGAGGGGATTACGGAATTACCCGAGTATATATCACTCATGTATGATTTTCCCTTCAAGCATGTCATATATATTGCCTACACAAGTCACTGAATCCAATATCTTTTATACATTTATCGAGTTCGTCAAGGTTGCTGAAAATAGCAACACGTGAATTTTTTACGGATTTAAGCAGTGATCTTTTATAAATTTAGTTTATTTCAAGAATGGCTGAATTTACCTGTAGATAAAAATTATACAAAAGACAAACAGGTGAATAGTTCCTTTAATAATTAAGAATCAGATGCAGTTTGCTGAATAAAACTGCATCATACAGCTATTTTGTCCACAACTCGTCAGTGATCCTGTGAGCTGAAAGTTTGAATCCTAGGAGGCGACCTAGGAAAGTCCAAAGTGTTTGAAAGAAAAGTCAAAATCTAGATGGGTAGGTGCACTTGCCCCATAATTAGATAGATGTCATAAGTTTGAAATATCAGTTCATTTCATTTTCTGAACCATGCCACTATTCAAGTGAATTAAAACGTAGCATGCAGGTTACAGCACACCACGTGGACTTAAGTCCACCAGCAGTGTCGACTACCTGCTATCCCAAAGACACTACAAAACACACACACGTGAATGATACATTTTAAAACAGAAATAAAGTGATATTCACCCATTCTCGATTTCTGACTATTGTAGCCGATCTGATTATTACATAAAATGGGATACTTATTATTGAAATTATGTACAGTAAAATGTTAAGTTACCGCCCAATCTTATTGTACAGTGTAATCACATATTAACCTTCAGCAATCTTAACTAATTAAATGCATTATTCTAAAAAATCTAACATTTTTCTGTTAAAAAAGATATGTTGAAATACTTTTTTCCGTCAGGACCATCCGGAACTTGAGGGGATAGACCTTACGTGGTTGTATATACCAGATAGGGCCTAGCATAACTCAGATCTGTCAAATAGTCTGAAAGGTATTCTTTGAACATCGGGAAATGAATAGAAAGAGAGCTTGAAAAAGTAAATGTTTGAGTGAAATTTTTCATTTTGCAAGACAACCATAAGAACTATGGATAAAACGTTTGCCTTTAAATTATGTCAGATATCCTAAAACACTGTTAAAGCATGGATTTAGACATAATGAACATTTCAATTACTTGAACAGGAACGAGCCAATGACACAAATTTGTCCTCAACATTGCTTAATTATCGATATTGTTTGATTATGATGATTGATTTTTAGATGTTGCTTTCCCTGAATCTTTGGCTTTCTAGGTATTTTTTTTAATTTAATCCAATTTTATTGCATAATGATATACATATAGATCAGACTCAAGGTATCACAACTTTATAATGTCCTCTCCATTATACAAATACAACAAAAATAAAACATTACAATGACCTTACAATGACCTCACAATGACCGATGCATAAAACATTTACAAGGTATTGCTAGGAACAGACAAAAAATAAAATAGAAAAGGGAAACAGAATTCAAACGCGAAAGTTCAGGAATTGAAAACAGTAAAGTTCAGGACATGCCTACCAATAGATTCATTTAATCAATCATACTTAGATTACTAACGTTATTATGTTTACGACAATATACTATGTTCGTTTTTCTTTCCACTCTTTTAATGTGTCATAAGGCCGGCAAAAATGTACAGTATTTACTTTTCATATATATCTATTCTTTGCAGGGGGCGGACATAATCGTATTTCCGGAAGATGGCGTCTACGGCATGGCATACTCTTGGGAAGGGATAACATCATATATGGAATATATACCGGATCCCCAAAATATCACATGGGACGCATGCGCAGATCCTTTTCGATTTCCAAATACAGAGGTACAGCATTACCTTAGCTGTCTGGCTAAGAATAACTCGATATATCTCGTTGCAAACATAGGAGACATACAACCATGCGATAACACTAGAGACTCCCGATGTCCAGGTGCTGGTCATTATCAATTTAATACTGATGTTGTATACGATCCCCTAGGACAACTGGTAGCTAAGTATCATAAAGTGAACTTATTTTACGAGTCACAATTCAGTTTTTCCACGGATAAATCCCCCGTAATTTTCGAGACGCCGTTCGGAAATTTTACCGTTTTCACCTGTTTTGATATACTCTTTTATCATCCGGCAATGGAGGCCATTGAGCAGCACGAGGTCGGAAATGTGATATTCCCAACAGCATGGATGGATGCTCTCCCTTTGCTTTCGTCGATTCAGTTCCATTCGGCATTTGCAGCAGGACTTGGCATCAACTTCCTTGCTGCAAATATCAATTTTCCGTCGTACAATTTTCATGGAAGTGGAATTTACACACCAAATGGTGCTTCTAATTTTTACTATAGTGGTGCATTAAATGAAGGCAAGCTGTTGATTTCCGATATACCTGTTGTCCATAAACCGACGATTTTATTCCCAAATGTTACATTCAACGTGACGTTTCCAAGCCCAGCGTTCACGGCCGACGTTTTCCACGATCCTTTTCATTTTGTACCGTTGTTAGGTCAGTCAGGTGTAGTTGGTGTTTGTCACAACAGCCTCTGTTGTAAGGCCAATTACTCCTTGTACACAATATCTGATGACGTCATAGCTTTAGGGGCCTTTAGTGGTCTCCATACCTACGAAGGCAAGTATGACATAGAGGTTTGTGCCATTCTTAAATGCAAAACGAACAACTATTTGAGCTGTGGTGAAGAGACAATGGATTCAAACACTTACCTGACCTATTTAAAACTTGAAGGCAATTTTTCTGTCCCATATGTTTTCCCGGAAGTACTTTTATCGAACAACGGAAGTCTGCATCTGGGTCGTATAGGCTCTTGGAGTTATGTTGCTGGATCACTTGAGAGTAAACATGGATTTGAATTTCCAGTTCTGTCGACTGCAATGTTCGCGCGTGTGTATAGTTCTGATGTTGCTTTCGTGTGCCCATGCGCGCTACTGTTACAAGTAATGTGTATTTCTACGATGCTACTGATATCCCGTTAATCTGATGTTTTAAATAGCCACTTTCAGGCATAAGAAGTTGCCAAAAGAAAAACAAAGAGAGATATATCCTTGATATTAGTATGTAGATCGAGGTCTGTGTTTGTGGATGTTTGAAAAGTAATATTATCAGCCCACCATCTAATGATGGTATCTTTTTGTTGATGGTAGTCTGTTAAACTCGCTCTTCGTTCTTCAGTCATTCATCCGGCCTTAAACAATAATTTTTCGTATATTTAGAGGGGAACTGGGTGAATCCCCATCCCACTGTATTTGTTAGAGGTTCCCCTTTGTCCATTGTTGTGCATTGTCCATTTCTAGATAGGTAAAATAAAATGGCCTACAAGCGGCCATCTTGATTTTTGTAAAATTTGGGTTTGCATGATTCTCTGTTATGAATAGTCCATTAAAAATTGTATATATGTACCTTGTTTCTTTGATTTATATTGTGCTGAAACAGCTTCATAAGAATTACGTAATTTGATTTATCTGACTGTTTGATCGATATTTTCCATTTTATTTGGCTGTCGATTGATCGTTAAACACAAAATCATTATCTTTTTTTACGTTGTTATACGCAAAATTTTGCTTTCTTATTCGTCAGTTTTGAAAAGTTAAGTTGATTACCAGTACAGGATCAACTGAGATTTCTACACCAAACTCAAGTATATAACAGCATATTATATCAATCAATTGTGACATCAGTTCCAGTTTCTGTAGAATTTCATACTTATAATGTCATATACCGGTATATGTTCTGGATCTTCCCCTCTTATCTAATCTATTTTTGAAATAATGAACTTAATAGTAACCAATGGTATTATATTCTCTAGCGTTATAATAGCAGTAATGTTACTTAGTGAATCACGTGAATGTGATTCATTGACCAAACGTCACCTAGTTGGTCGCCCCAATCTCCGCCCACTGTATTGATGCCGTGTGTCCATGCCGAGTGCCGCTAGGCGGCGCACGCGTCGCGACTCTGTGCGTTGAGGTCCATCCTGTTTTCACAACGTCTGATTTTGTGTTATGGTTAGATCGCCTGGTTGTGAGTGATGCATCGTTGGTGACCGTCTCGCAGCTGATGAAAAAGATATCTCTGGTTAATCTTGGAGTGTGTTCACGTGGATGTGGAGATGCTGTGCGTACGTTGACAGGTCCTCTCATTCCTTTCTCAGAACTAACGTCCGCAACATCATTCAAGCAGACATCTAGCTTACTTTCGAGGCTAAGCAATATCAGTGACTGGATCTTTTTAGACATTATCTTCTCAGAAATGCCTTTAGATGCCTACACTGAGATTGACACGAAGAAAGGTCTGTAATCAGATCTGGCAAACCGTTCAGTCATTTTACCCACTTGACGGCGTACACTGCCAATGAAAGAACGGAAAATAAACACCCGTAAGCTAGTTAACTGTTCAAATACAATGTCATATTAATGAGGTTTGCTTGTAACACCGAAAATCCGTCCAAACAAAACGCTGTCAACGTCTGAAAGCGCCAAAATATTTACAGTTCGTTCTGTCACTTCCGCGTTGTAACACCATGTCTCCTAAATCTGTGGTGTAGAGTGGAACTCTCCGTCTCTTCTGTATACTTGACTGCCTGGTCTTTAGATGGATGCAGTCATGTTTCTGTTAAAAAAAATAACCCAACTTAACGCGAAAATCATAAAAATCGCAGGACCAGAATATCACTAAAAGGCAGAAGGGGCCTGCCAATAGCACCGGTATTACCCCTATCCTTTTTAGTGATGTTTAAGATCGATAGCATGCGATGATCAACAACAAATCAATTAAAGTTGGCTAAAATGGCACAGTCCTCCGTACTGGAACTAATAGTGTCCCGTGTGTCTGATCTTTCAATATTTTTCAACGATCTAGAGTTTAAGCCGGGGAGTGGTACCATCCAATTGTTTAAATGACACCGTGATACGATGAAGGAGTCTATAGCTTCGGTACCTCCGCTACAAACACGCGAAGAAACATATTTAATGCAATTCGCAGCGAATGTGTCCACATTAATAAATTTTTTAACTGTGTCGATAGCCATAGGCATTTATATGTGTTTTTGTTCAATTTCAGTTCATATAAAACGTTCTCATTATATATATATACAAAAACTAAAAAAAAACCTGTTTTAAAAAAGCATGAAGAAAATCAAATCCTTGTTACATATATATGTGTAAGTAGAAAACCTTTATTAAGGATACAAAGTATTTGTGTTGCCTGTTTTAGAGGTATACATGTACATTATAGGATTGTTGCTCACTGACAGACGTAAACAAGTTGTGACAAG